CACCAACACCACAGCTCCTGCACAACACCTACATGACAACAGCTACACCGCACCATGACCGCACCACCTGGAACACGGCCAGATACGCGTCCCTTGCTAACGTCGAGCTGATTGGTTTCGGGATAATCGGGGTCTAGTTTTTCCTGCGCGCCAATCCGCGGTCCCAGTGCAGGGCATGGCGGGAAGCCAAAATCCAAGGCCACCAGCTGCGTAAATTTCATGCAGGCAACGTCCAAGGCGGGAGAAAGTCCATGGCTCACTGTCCGGCCCGCAAGGAAGGGCAATCGACTCGCTAACGGCGGGGCAAGGACGTACTTGGAGAGGACTCTGCGGTCACGTTGGCAGCCTTGCTCGTTACAGGGCCTCATTGCTCCAATTCGCCAAAAAGAATGTGCGAGAAATGTTTTGGACATGACCAGAAATTCTGCAGTGTTTTGGCGGCCCCAAGGGCATGCGCTGCCCAATAATCTGCCAATTTGGATGGTCTAGTGCCAATCGCTGCACTTGCTTTTTATTTTTTAGGGGATAGGGGGGTGCGGATGGTAGGCCGAGTCTCGCGGGGGCCGGTGCGAGTCCCGGCCATACAATGCCCCAGTCTAATGAAGGTAGGAAACTCAGCGTAAGCGATTAAATTTGGCGATGATGGCACCGACGCCACTGGTTTTGACATTCGGGCTGGGGCTCGTCAACGTCGTGTGCATAGCCCTTGCCTGTTCTGCGCAATGTTTTTTTCATTTGGCATGGGGGATTTGAGGCGTGTTGGCCGCACCACGCTGGCTTGGACCTGAGGGTGGCGGGAAGCTTTTGCTTGATTGACGCCTTGTGGCGCCTCTGCTTGCAAAACACCAGCCATTGGTATCATGATGGCTGCTGGACGAGTTGGTGCGACAGTGCGTGCGGGTTTGTTTGACCTTGCCTACCACTGTGGCCCAAGCACCTGCGAGCTGCTGACGCTTCATGGCATGAGTGTGAAGACACTGTCAGGCCTAAGCACGCGCAAGTGGTAAGGATGCCTTCTTTCAAGTCGCGGATCTGGCTGCTGATTGGAACTAATTTGCAGGCATCGTGCGACAAAGGCATTTCCATGTTGCGTCGATTGCGGTACTTTGATGCAGTCATATCGCCTGCACATTGTTTTGCGGCGGCAGAGCATCGTGCTGAACATCGTGCTTTTGCGAATCCTAACTCTGCTTGGCCAAAGGATATCTTGATCTCGAAAGCTGAACGTTCCATGCAGGCCAGGAAATCACGATATTGAAGTTTCAGGCTACTTCAGTCAGAGCTTCAAGTACGGCGACACATGGGAACACATAGTACCCAAAACAGAAAGCACGCATTCGGTGTCGCTACTTGCCTGGAGACAGCTAAGACATGCCACCCCTTCGCTGGTTCTGCTGAGGAGGACAAGGTCCACTTGCCTCTGTGTCTGAGTTTCCTGAAACTTCTCGTCAATCGCGCCATGTGCATGATCATGAGGAATGTTGAGCTATCACGAGATAACGTGTCAAAATGGCTGTGATATCCGAACCATATTTGCACACCGCGCGCACCGGGCCCAAATACAATTTCCTTCCGCAGGAAAGGGAAACGCGACGACTGCTAGTTGGGATTAATTGGGGCGACATGACATGGGTTAACTCACCCAAATCCTAGCTCTTGGCAACTGGGTTGCTAGGCCAGAGTCAACTGCCGTGACGGCCGCGATCTCGCCAGCAGCCAGGAGATACCACGTAGCACTTGGTGCGCATCAGAAAAGGTTTGGCAGAGAATGCTATACCTTCGGGAATGAACTGGGCTCTGTGATGGCTTGTTTGACGACATGACGGTTGAGTGTCCGGCATTGAAGCAAAGGCTTGCTTGGTTCAAAATTTGTTTGTCATGATGAAGATCTGTGCCGTGCCTTGCGTTTAGCAGTTTGTTGAGAATTCGCTTTGGTCGATGGCCAAACATCAGGAAAACAGCACAAGCGGGAGAAAGCTCCACCAAAGCAACAAGCAACTGGAAGAAATGGACGTGAAGGATGTCTTAAGCCCAGACCTGTTTAAGCCCATGCAGCTGGGCACGGGAGTTGGACCAGTTTGAGCCAAGACCGTTCAGATCCAACCTGTCATACTTGGATCGGAAAGCGCAGACTTGGTTGCAGCGCCATGCAGGTTCTTTCTTTTGTTATCGATTATGAAAAAAGTTTGAGCAATGCGGTAGTGTTGGGGACCTGGATGGTGCAGCAGGCAAGTTTGCAGCTAGCTCAGCAAGGTGATGTACAGATCAACCCAGCAGACTTTCGAAGTCAAATGGCTGCTGTAAGGATAGTAGTGTTCTAGTGCATAACGCACTTTTCAGTTTTCCTTCTTGAGGAGCTGTCATTTCAGCATGATATATATATATACATACATACACATATGTGCTACCTCCGTTGAAGGGCCACCAAGGAACAATCAAGCAGCCTACATGCATTGATATGAGAGCAAATGGCGGCTTGCAATCATCACAATACTTACTGAGGAATCTGCATGGATCGGAACCATATCCAACACCAGTAAGCCATGAGCCTTTTGGTATCTGTTCTAATTGAGCTTAAGGGCTATTTCTACGAGCTGAAACCAAATCGACAACCAGCAAGCCAAGATTCCAGGATTTCGGTATCCGTTGAAATTAACTTAGTTTAAGAAGGTATCCATATGAACTATGGACACCAACATCACCCACAGATATGTGGAAATCTACTTGAGTTTAAGTGACTTGCACTGGGTTCATATAGAAGCAAAATTGACTTTCAGCAGCTTCATATAAGGCAAAGAGCCGTTCATGAATACTTGGAGCCTAGCGTGTAAAGACAGACCTCTCAAAGCAGTAGAATCCAATTGCATTTGATTGTGCTGTTACTTTAGTGTTGCCATGGTGTGGAACCACGTGCCATCCAGCAATTAGCAGGATCCTGATTGAAATTGATTTAGTTCTATTTCGTGTTAAATCCAGAGTCAAGGACCATCCAGGCATGGTTGGAATCCTAGATGAACTTGCTTCCTGCTCTATTGAAGAAAGTCATATGGACACCAACACCATAAACCCATGCGTGATTTCAAGCAGGTTCTACTAGAGGCAAAAACCCTTCATAAATATGCGGAATCTGAATTATTTGGGCTAGTTTTTCAGTCGGGCTTGTAAAGAATTCAGGACCATCCAAAATTTGGTTGAGCCTATATAGTATATAGTGCAATTTGGTGGGTTTTCTGATGAAAGTCCATAGAATTTCGGAGAGAATCCAGCAACATGGTCTTCAGAAGATTTGAAGATTGTTTACAGATGCTTATGCTTGTGAAAAACATTTCTACAACATACGTACAGTGAGGACCACCCCAACCCCTGTGACCTTAACTACTTTTCAAACGTGACAACAGTATGATGACGCAAAAGCGATGACAGTTGCAAGGATCACGATGACGACCACCTAGATCCCTGCCTAGTTACGAGGAACGCAGCTCTGAGGATGGCAGCGCTGAGGGCCCCCACCCCTGCCATTTTTGATGCGTTTGAAGCATACCCCGGGGGGGGGGAAGGGTGGGGGGGGTGGGGAAGGGTGGGGGGGGGGAAGGGGGGGGAGGGGGGGGCTGGCAAACCGAGAACCGGGATCATAGTATATACAGATCTCTATATATATATATATATAGTTTGGCTTCAGAGCATAAGTCTTCTCACGTCTGATGTTGCGAACCTATACCTTTCAGCCAGCGCAGTCACATGAGACAATGCCTGAATTGCGTTGTCATTGCTCATGTCTTGGCGCTGCCCTTGGATGCGTTGTTTCCTGCGAGGGCTGTTTCTACCCTTCCCAAGATAGTATACCGACAGGTTTCACTGTAGCAAGCATTCTGGTGAATGTTTACGTTCAGCACCTGGACCAACATGCAAGAGCAGCGAAGTGAACAAATGCAGTTGCTCAAGGGGTTTCTCGTTGCTCTGATCAGGTCTGACCACGGTGAATTCCACTTATTGAACGTAGGTTTGAAAAATCTGCCTGATCGCAAGATCCAATGGTGGCTGCGTCAGAAGCTGCAGAGTACTCATCCCACTGGCACTTTGAAAGTCTGCAGGCAAACACTTTGAAAGTGTGCACATAAGAGGATCCCTGCAACGCTGGGGAAATGCAGTTGTTTGACAACAGAAGCTTTGGCAAGTTTGCAACTTTTCACTCGCCCTTTGAATGACCGAGCTTACAACTTCAAACGCTTCGATTTGCGCTAGCTGCAAGCTGCTTGTGAGGAAAGCTCGCGCAAATAACAAAGACTCAAACATGATTCGCCTGCTGGCATTGTAAATGGGCTAGAAAGCTTAAGCATGTGCTGCCACGTGTTGAAGGTTGGCATTTGCTGGACTTTGTTCAGACGCAGATGCTAAGGAAACCCAAAGCAGTGTCAGTTGTAGGCGTGGACGAGGGAAGGACTGTAGCTGTACGTAGCTTCTTTACCCTGTCAAAGTCATCCTGCTGCACGTGCACGATGTTTCCTCCGTGACTCTGGTTGCATGCCTTGACACATGTCCCTAACATTTACGGCTGCCTGGCCCTGGTGAGTACCAAATGCGGACGAAAGCGTAGCATTCTGAAGTCAGCTGCTGAAAGCGCTTCGAAGGCTTGAACAACCTGCTCAAAGTAGAGCGCAACTGCTTCAAAAGTTGGCCTGCAGCCTTCGAAAAAGAACAAATCGGCAATGACTATTCGATTGTTGTGAGAATAGCGAGCACGCGCCTATCTTTCTTTTTGCTCACCGCATGCTCAGAATGAAAATTGTAAGAGCCTGCATGGCTCCATTGCTGCTTGAACTGAGGTTGGCCTTAAGCCCCAATCCTCAAAATGCAAAGCCTAGCAACTAACAGGCATGAGAAAGCCTCAGGACCTGAAAGGCCTCTCATCTAGCATAACTAGGGCTACAAAACTACGGAATCCGAATCTCATGCCTGGTTCCTTCTACTTGAGACGGGATCTTGATGATGACTCGTGCCCGTCAATCATCTGTCTCATCAAAGACCACCTGGTGCAAAGTGGATCAACATATTTGCTCAGCGGCAACCAACAGCGCCTCATCCTTGAAAACGTTAAAGGCTCCGAGGCCCTCTAAAAATTAAAACTGTGTGATTTGGGGAACCGAAAGCAAGCCTTCCACTGGGGGCGGCCAACCCCTCTTCGAACAATGGAGCCATCTGACCTCGAATCCAAGAGGGCCAATGCTAGGAAGCCAGTCTCAGGTCGATCAAGATTAAGTTCAAACAAGTTCTGTTTATCTTGTTTCCGAGCCTCTAGTGACTCCAGTACTTGAAAATCCTCAGTGCCCGACCTCACTACCAAGGCAAGGCCCATGTCTCTCACCTTTGACGGCCGCACATACCCTTGCTGAGACTGAAGCGAGACAACTTCTGTACTTTCTTCGGCAATGCCGCTTGACTGGGCGTGATATCAAGAGTGTGCTCGCTCTGCTGGCCTGCTGGCCGATGTCCTGCTCATCAGCCTCCTAGGAACACTTGGTGGGTCCACTTGGGCTGAAATTAGACACATTGTCCATGTCAAGGGACCCTCCAGCATCCCGTCCCACTTGCTCACAGACTAAATATCCATTCAAGGAGCGAGACCTTGGGCAACACCCCGTCTCAAACAACCCTGTTCTTCGAGCCCCGGCCTCAAACTCAGCTGCAAGGAGCGAACCCCAGGCAGCAGCCTGGCAGCCAGTGCTCAGGATGAATGCCTTTTTCATCACGCGTCAGTCAACTTGTGAGCAACGTGTGTTGGGTGGAACAAGTGTTTGAACCATATTCAACGTATTAATACGTGTTACAGCATGGGACCGAACCCTATAAGGATCTGCTCCACACATCTGGAGACAGGTTTTGAACGGGCGCGGCTCTTGTGTTGGCTCAGTGTTGGAGGTCTGAGTTTCATGCTGGAACGAAACACAACAGATCATGAGGACCAAGACCAAGCGCAAGCAAGTGCATATGTAAGCCTTTGACGATGCCTGCATTCACCAAACATATACAGCAAAAACGGCCTGCCCATCGGAGCTGACAGGCAAGGCCACCGCTTTCTGCCGCATCAGCTTTGCATCCCTGCTCACGCAGACTTGGGCAGGAAAAAGAGTTACTTGGAGATGTGCGGAGTGAGCGCAGTTTGTGCCTGATGTTGGGCGGGAACTCTAGAAGCATCTTGGAAGAGACATCGACGATGGCCTTGTCGCGTCAGCCAAACATTTTTTGCTACACAGCTTGGTTCTGGTTGCATCACTCGTTGCCATAGCGAGCCTCAGAATTCCTGCCCAACGTGCGGCGGACTGGCATCTCTTGCCAGATTCTGAGGCGCGCACGGGTACCAACAAAAGATTCCGTTCGGAGATCTCCTTGGCCTCGATCCTACACGATAAGATCTACTGCCAGCAATCCATCATCAACTGAATACTGTAACAACGGAAGTTGGGTGTTCTATAACAGAATGGCAAGATGTCTGAGTGTGCGGAAAACACCTGCCAGCCTCATCGAGAGAAGCACATCAGTGATGAGCTGCTCCTTCTCCTTTGTAACCTGGGACATTGGATTCCAATCATCCATTCGAAAGCCTACCGCTCTACATGTGCGAGCAACTGTAACAGGGTTTGCCTGGGGCTCAGGCGCCTGGTCATCTGAACCGGAGAGCACTATGCAACACAGATACTGCTCATGCTGTCTCAGAGCCCTGCAGCGAAGAAGACAATGCTCTGCTTTGCCTTTGAAAGCTGCAAGTGCTGCTAAAGACAATGAGTATGACATGCTCTATGCCTCAGCATTGATCACTGTCGGTATTGGATGAGAAGCCAACCTATAGGCAGATGGCCTGGCCTTTGTCTGCAGCACCGAGATGGGAGCAGCTCGTCGAATAGGCACGCCTGGGGCTTCCACCAAGCCGACCGCTTTCAAGATTGCTTTGCAGCCAAATAACTGCTGATGAATTGCAGATTTGCCTACTGAGCTTTGCGACCAATAGCACACGCTACACCCTGTGCTGTTGAGATCTGTTGAGCCTACTTGGAAAACATGGCAAGTGCGGGCCGGGTCACCTTCTTCGTCCTCCTCCCCCGACATGATGTTCAATCTAAGCGACTGCATTGCCTGGCTGCTCAAAGCTACGGCTACAGCTGTCAGTTTCTTGATGCTCTTGCTACTTGCTCATCAGCCTTTGGCATCACCACGCGCACGGTCAAGTGAGTCAGAGCTTGTAAAGCCGTGCAGAAGTACAAAACTCTGCAGCATACAGCCCCTTGCAAGAAGTTTGCAGGGTCGACACCCTCTGTAGCAGCACTGGACGCTTCCTGCCGCAGCTGCTCCTGCACTTCCTGCTCACTCGTGCAAAGTATGCAAAGTGGGGCTCATGCACCAACTTTGCTTCGGACTGCGCTCGAGAATTTGCTCAAAGGGATGCTGGCTGAGTCTTACAAGCTAAAGCCTTAACTCTGGAGCTTGACCTCTACTTCGTGCGCATCGTAGGTACCCAGGTGTCAAACAGCATGCAAATGGCAGTCAGCTGCCTCGGGTGAGAGGGCTGCTTCTTTCGGACGAAAGAGGTCCTGGAAAGACCTGCAGGTGGCCAAAATGGCTATGCCATGTCACAAAACCTGCAATCTCTTGTTGCTGCTAGTACAAGCGTGAGCTCCGACGCTTCTGATACTGCTGCTACGGAACACCCTTGCTTACATTGATCATGTTTGATCATAAAGCATGGACCATGATCTTGGCCTCAAGGCGCCCTCAGTGAAGGATGCCTCGTTCATCAGCTTGTCTTTGTCGTAGCTGGCGGGTGCAAAACAGTGAAGCGAGATCACGCAGAACAGATTCATTCACAGACAACACTCTCAGTTGGAGCTTCCGGACAGATTTATCATGGCTCCCGGCTCTGGTTCAGATCAATGAGGCCGCAATCTGGGTTAAAGGCTTGCAGATAGGTTGGAGATGGTTCTGCTTGTGTTACAGGCACGGCTTCGGTGTGTAAGTTCAGCTACCACCGGGAAGCAGCCTTGCTGAAAGCCCCATGCGCCGAGGCTGAGCGAACTGCGAACTCCTGCAAAGATAGCTTTCACGGCAAAGCACCTCAATTCAGAGACGATTCTCAGAACCTGAAGCCGGGATTGGTGGGGACAGCGTGGCGTTTGGTCATGCGGTTGGCATCCAGCTTGCCCGAAGCACGCATATGCACGCATCCTCCTTCTCAACGCTAGAGGCAAACATAGGCAAACCCTTTCGAAGCTTGGACGTCCTCATCCTGGAGTAAATCCACGAGCTCTCAGCGAACCTCCTCATGTCTAACCTTCGGACACCCTCGGCACCATAGAAACCGTTACAGTCAGGATTGACCAAGCACGGAGTGTCCCTTCAGCACTGTAACAGGCCCCAACTACCAATGACGCAATGATTCGGGTGCTTGTGCCACGCCCTGGCAATTCCTTGGGCCAGCAAAGCTCCAGCCGGGGCAACGCGGTACAATCCTCAGTGCTCACAAGTGTGGAAGGCATCGAGAAAGTCCGGGCCCAAACTTGAAGTGCAAGTCCTGATTGACTAATAGAAAGCGATTCCTAAGCTTGCGAGCCCTTGACCGGCATAAGGGGACGTCTCCGACGCACTTCAGCTCAGGCACATTGGAACTTGCTGGGCTTCCAACAGACCACATGCCACAGCGGCAACCAGGAGTTTGCTAAGACCTCCGCCTTTGGTGAGTGTGGCCCTCACACTACACTACAACAACGCCAGGCTTTGCAGAGGTGCCACACGGAACAAAGTAATGAATCATCTGAGCCATGGGCGATCACGGTTACATCCGGCCTGAGCGCGCTGGTTCAGAATGTGCTGCTGCGCTAGACACGCAGCCTTGCTTCAAAAGCGTTGTTCCACCAATGAGCAATGTAGGGGTGTGATGTCTGAGGTTCTGGCCGTGGAAGGCAAGGCAGGCGTGACGGCCATGTCTACTATGAGCAGGTTTTCTGATGAATGACGTGTTGCGGGGATCATACGTTTAGACGAGCTTAGACTCCGATTGCTCTGGAAACTTGCGGCCTCATGTTTCAGCTGACCAGGTATGCTCATCAGCCCAAGCTTGAAGCTGACACAAACAGGCCACATCTGGGAATACCGGCAAGCAGTCTGCAAACCTTACCGCATCCCCATTCATCTCATAACTGCTTGACCCCGAAACACAGCCAAGTCGGGATACAAGCCGGAAGCCCCATCGAGCGCTTCCCTCTGAGCACACTGGGCTTTTCTACATCTTGCTTGCTGGCGTGAGTTGGAGACGTCCATTCCCGATGCAGATCTTGCCGGTCTCCTTGACCAACACTTGGAATAGAAAATCTTCTGCGGAAACCTCCCAGATTTCAGTCAACAAGGTCTGGCCAGGGAAAACAGGTGACACCAGCCGAAGCTGCAAGCTGCGGAATCTGCGGGGGTCACCCGCGACCAAGGTGTCCAGAAGCGCACGCGTGGCATGGCCAAAGGTGCATTTCCCGTGAAGAATCGGCGCATCAAAGCCAGCCAAACGGGCGAAGTCAGGATCCACATGCAATGGGTTGTAATCCCCGGACAAACGATAAATGCAAGCAGCTCGGGGATCGATCTTGGTCTCCACTCGGTGCTTGGGTGGAGTGGATGGGACAACTACTGGCTTCGTGAGAGTTGGCCCAAAGTCTTCGAAACCTTCTGCGCCTACGACGTAACTTGCGTCCACGAACTTATAGTAGATCTTGCCTGTAACAGGGCAGCACTCTCGCAAGAAGCTTTTTTCATCTTCCAATCAAAGGTGGGTTTGCTGTTCGTCTCTGCAGCAGGCCCTGGCAAAAAGGGCGGTCCTCAGAGGAATTGAAATTCACAAGTTCCAGCACATCCCGCCTGTGTCGTCAACGAGGTCAAAGACCCGCTCAACCAAAGCACCCTTACCCTTCTTGTGAGCACTGGCAACTCCTCAACATCGGGATGCATGAGCACAGGCTGGTCAGATCAATCCAATGCTAGCAACAGCTGCACTGAGATCCAGCTGCAAAACCCATGCCATTGAGTATAGTTCCCGGCCTCCAGCCAACTTCAGGCGGGCTCCTTGTTTCGGCAGCTCTGCCAGACGCTCCAAGGTGATCCCCGCGTCAAGGGGCCCCCGCGCATTTTGCATGCGCGGGTTCGGGAAGGCTGCCTGGGATTGGGCACTCCGTCATGCCACCAAGGAAGGGGATGTTCTGGTATCCAAATCTTCGAAACCCTTGGTCAGCAACCTGCAAATAAATTGTGAGTATTGCAGCTGAGGACCAAGATTGGCGAAGGAAAGGGCAGAGCATCGTAGGAGACGCCTTTGTAATACAAAGCCTGAGCTTGGCAGTGAACTTCTTATGATGCTTCATATGATGGTTCAGCCCCGATGGGCCTAAAATGTTGGGTCCGCTCCACAGTTTCTTCGGTTGTTGACGCTCTATGCATAAATCTCCCAATTTGCTCTCCCAATTTGCTGATTTGGGCACGATGGCCTTCCGGGAGTCATTTGGTTTATTATCTCGGTATGATTCAACTACATTACTGTCTTGCTCATCGGGAAGGGCTTTGCATCAACTAGGGACCCTGCAAGTTGCCTGCAACTCATCCGTAAAAATAGGCCCTCCATGGCAGCGGGTTCTGTTTGGAAACCATCACTTTAAGAAGAAGACCCGCATCTGAACATGATGTAAGACAATACAGAGGCACACTGCAATAGATCGGTCGCTTCAGCTTAGGGCTAATCACTTGCTTCAAGTAAAACAGCCAAAAACACCGAGGTCACGTCCACTTCGGACGGCGAAGGGGTTATCTAGAGAACTTCTATCACCTGACTCGCATTCAAGATCACTTGGCTGTCAGACTTGAGGCATTGACTTGGGGGTCGAGGCGGATGCTGCGGAAGGACTTGCAGACCGAGAGCCACAGGGTAGGTTGGAAACGCGGCGAAGTCCGCATGCTTCTCCTTGCAGGCGGCAAGCTATGACTCTAGGTCCCTAAAAATCCACAAATGGCTCAAATATAGTTTCAGGTGCAAGGTTGCGTAGCTGGACAAGCGAGCGTCGTAGATGTATCGAAGGTCGTCGCTGCCGATGCCAAGAGCGTAGATGATCAGATCCTCAGCCGCTGCTGTTTGACGTGCGCATTGTGCTAGCGTGGGTGGGCATTGAGCGACACACACGCGTGTTGTACTCCACGGGCTCCACAATTGTAGCATGGCCTTACGTGAATGCATACCGAGTGCTGGAGTCTGTCAGTCCATCAGATCAACACAAGGTGTGTGCTTGGAGTGCTGCCGGCGGCACTCTGGATTCCCGCCATACTTGCTTCCCTCTGTAGAGATGTGTTGTGATCTTCTTTTGTGACTGTGCGACTGGCATGTACAAGAAACATGAGAAAAGGCATAATGCCTAGATGCTCATGTAATGCAGTGCAAATATCTTCATCATGCCTTGGCCCAAGCTGCAGCAGGATTCAGATTTTGTCATAATGACAACTCATGGCGCAATGATACCGACCCTGCAATTTTTTGAACCGGCTTCCGCCGAAAGCTCAAGGGGCAGCACACTAGTCAGGCTAAGAAGTGTATGCTCACCTTATTCTTGACCTTGCAGCCGTCAGAAAATTTGGACGTGCTTAATTCTCGCCGCGACTGAAACAGTGGCCTCTCAGCGGTTCTCGCTGACGTACCTGCAAACATGGAGCGTGAACGCTGCAGCTCATAAAAGGGGGCAGACGGGAGCACCCCCACCATCTAAGTGAAGATTGCTTGGCATGCTGCATTTTGCATCCCTGTGAAAAGATGTGCCAACCTTGCAAGCAAACTCAGCCAGCCTTGGGAAGAGCTCTTGGGTAATCTTTGGAGCTGTCCATCCAGGGATATCCCGCAGCGCTTGTGAGAGGCGATTCAAGCGCTTGGCATTGACACCCAGGTCGAGGTAGCCAAGCCTGCTGGCAGATCGAACCAAAACTTGTCCAGACTCCTTGTCCGCAGGCTTCACCAGAAACTCCACGTCATCAATGTAGCCCCTCTTGAGGGACTCAAACTGGACGTAGATGTAGCCTTTCTCAGGATCCACCTTCTTGATTTCGAATCCACCTCCATCGATCTCCTGCTGCCCGGGCGGATAAGCCTTGACGACCTTCAGGGATCTGTATGGGTCTATGACCCTGATCGGCCTACAGCTGCTTTGTCTACGGGGACATATCATGCTTATAAGCACCTTACTGCATAGCGCCTATGCAAGCACTGTAAACAACTTGCATTTCACTGGGCCCGGCGCCTTCTCGAGGTCAGACACGGCGCCAGACACGCCACCTGCGGATCAAAATTCGTCAGCTTGAGTAAGCAGTGAAGGAACTGGTCATGCGGGACAGCCGGCCTGAAGAATAAAGCCATGGCTTGAGGAAGTGGTCATCGTCCGTTCCGGGCGCAGAGGAGAAGCAGTTCGGGGCACCTGTAGATGTCTCGGCTGCGAGCGTTCGTTGGCTGGCTCTGGGCTCACGCCGACATCCAGCATGATAACATCAGCTACTTGACCAAAGACGAACCCTCATCAGATGTGCTAGGATGCCATAGAGCGGGCCCACAAAGCACAATAGGGGATAAAGAGAAGGCAGCATTCATGCAGCCTTCAGACAGCCAGATCCCCCTCTCCGTTCACACGCTTGTTTGGGGTCCACCCTTGATCAGCGCATGTCCACGGACATTGATTGGCCCTCCTTGAAAGGCGCGCCTCCGCAGCTACTCAGTGTTCCAGTACCCACGCCTCCAACAAGCAGGCACAACAATCCCAACATGTAGAAGTACCATCAAGTGCCCTAAGATCCAGGTCGACGCAGAAAACCCTCTAGCAAGTTTGTACTGTCCATGAGCCTTGCCTTGGGGCTGGCTTCCTGGTGTCTTTGGGCCCTTGTACTCCGCCACGCGATTCTCAAAGGCCTTCGGGCCGCAGGAAATCTCTCTTTGAGCATATCTTTCCCGGTCTGGACAAGGCTCATGAGTTAGTTTCTACAAGCCAGGTTGCATGTCCCCTTACCACCAAGAAGAACAAGCCGTCCTGAGCCGGTGGTGCCAAGCCCAGCTGTGCCAGGGAAAGTAGCACCACACGCCGCGGCGCCGAGATGCCGTTGAGCCAGCACCTGCCATCAGCAACTGGTTCGTCATAGATAGAATAATACATCAACTTGACTGAGCAAGACGCGTTCTGAGGCCTGCTTTCAGTTCTATTCCTTCGTAGAGCGATTCAGCTTTGTTGACATTTGAGATGCGGTGCATAAGGCTCATCTGAACGGACCCTCGGTGTAGGCGTGGGGTGTCAAGGGGCTTATCACACGTGCAATGGTTTCTCAAGTCTCCATCGTTGTCGTGTTAGCAGACCCTGTGGCCAGGCAGAGACAGGGGAACCATGTCGGTCCAGCATGTTTGCAAGCTCGTCTTTGGATGCTAGAGGCAACCAGGCTGCGGCTCTGCTTAATGCAAAGCTTACAGGCCTGCTCCATGTTGCCGATGATGCAGCCGCCAGAAGACCAAAAAGCCTGCTGGAATGCGATCTAGATATATCTAGATTAACTATGTGGCATAATGAGATAGAGCAGGTTGTGTCTTCCATTCCTGAAAAAGTGACAAAGACAGACCGCTGCGACATTGCAGTTCAATGGTGTAACAGGCAATGCATGTGCTACAGACATATAACCCCATATAACATCCATATAACCACACATAAGAATGACGCAATATTTCCTGTGCCTGAGACCCCGTGGCCGCACAGGCCGAGTCCTGACAAGAGCGCTCAGTTGCTCGTGGGCGAACATGTCCAAAATTGGGGGGGTACCTTCTAAAATACGGATTGTAATATTGTTGGTGTCTATTTTGCGGCCCTCTTTGAATATTTCTGAGGCGCGATGGCACCTGGGGATGTTTCGAGCTTTTCACCAGGCGGATAGGAGCAATAATCGTAAAATCCAGACACGACATACCCTACACCTTCCCCTGCTCCTGTCAAAGCGCTGCGCTGGCTGCTTGGGCATGGCCGACACGCAGGGCAAGCACTGTCGACGTCTTGCACTTGTGGGATCTGTTTTCTGGCTCTGGCGGTAAGAATGTCGTCAAGGATCATAAGATGTATAATGATAATTAACAGTGTATGCTCAACAGTGCTGGCCAAATAAAGGAGAGTTTAGAGTTTGCTGCGCGTCATCCTTGCCATGAGGCTCCACCAAAGATTGCCAGCCGCCTTTTTTTAACCCCCCCTAGTGCTGCACGCAGCTAAAGCTGAAGATCAGATGTCGTCTCGTACATCTGACTAACTTCGACCCTCATCCGGAGGCTCGTGCCCTCTACAATCCTGTACAGTCATGTCGGTCGACTGCACACCTAAACAGCAGGTCCTATCGCATTCTTCTTGTAGCGGCCTTGTTCCGGCCGATTTAACGGTTTAACGTTGCTGGCAAGGCTGCAGCGCAGTCCTCTTGAAGTATGAAGCATAGCTGATCTTCCCTGAGTGTAGCAGGCTGTATGCTGCTTGCTGCAACGTACAAGATCAAGAATAGCAGTGCAAAGCCCGCTGCTCAAAGCAGCTTTGGCACGTGCCCTGCGTTGTCTGGCATCTGCTTGCCATCGGTTGATTTAGAATGAGCCCTTGCCAGCTCCTCTCAGCAACCCAGGCGTCCTGACCGTCAAAGGTGCAGGAGGTGTGATTCCTCAAGCAATCCACGCTTTCAAAGTCTTTCGCAAATTCCTTTGCCTGCTCGCAGCGGGACTCCAGAAGCCTGCGCCCTCAGCAGAACTGCAATTGCATGCTTCTTGGAATTGACACCTTTGTCAAAACCCTGCAGAGAGTGCCTGGTGATGCTGGGTTGGAATTCCGAGCCCCAAGGATGCGAGTGAAGAGCAACATGAAACAAGCAAACTGGACACCCCTCGCCCAATTCCCTTCAATTCAGCGTTTCTGTGCCCTCCAAACCATCCAACATCACCCAACATCCCGAAAGGGTCAGCCTGCTCTACAAGCTTATGTAATCTGATGAACAAATTCACCACGTTTGTGCCTGCGTGCTTGGTCTCCACTTGAAGAATGTCGCTTCTATCTGTTCGTTGAGATTTCGGACTAGCTTAGCCGGAAGGCGTTGCGGATTTCCTGTCAGTAAGTCAGTTTTGGCTAGGCATGCAAGGCAGAAGGAAAGGACATGAAGGGACAGAAGAACAGCACAACAGCTAGCAAGATGGGCAGTTGCACAGGATGGTCCATTCAAGCTCGTGTTCTGGCCTTTTGCTCAGGCCTCCTCCCGAAAAATCCACCCCGCATGCTTTCATCGCGAAGAGGGCTTCATCTGTTGGTGTTCTGTTGGAGGTGATCGATTGTTGAGGGGGATTCATGGAATGGAAGCCCCAACTCAGTCAGAACCAATATCCAGGGCGCGCCGTGGGCGTTTGCCCGGACGCGATTCGGTCACATGTGCGAATAAGCCACGTTTTGCAGCGTTGTGAGGCTTGTGAGGATTGAGAGTCAGGGCAGAAAAATTCCTGATGTTTTACGTCGGCTTTGTAGCATGCAAATTGCTGGTCATGTCAGGCTGCAAAGATGGCATGCGTGCTTTCACCACTGTGCGCAGTGTTTCGTGCTCTTCGGAGAACATTGCGTTTTGACGGAATATGCGAGGTGTCATTCCCTTTGTGCATGGCCCCAACTTCTGATTTTATTGTTTTTTTTTCCTTGAAGCTATCCTGGATGTATAACGGTTCACGGGAATGAAAAAGCGCGCATTCTTCAGGCTTGTCGCTTGTTTTCAGCACCATGCCCAGTGGTTCATGCTATCCGGAGCTGTGTTCGGCTGGCCGTCCTGAACGAACGCGCAAATTTCCGTTCCCGTAGAGGATGGCTCCAGCATGTAAAGTAAGCGTTCTTGTTGTGCTACCATGTTTGGGAAGGAAAATGCGCGCATTCTTCAAGCTTGTCCCCGCAGGCACAGACACAGACTTCTAGGCGTGGATGCTCTGGTATACATATGCTCTTGGAACAGGAACGGAACCATGGTGGGGCATGAATGATCTGGTAACCGTCTGCTCTTGGAACACGAACACAATTATGGTTTGGGCATGGATGCTCTCGTAACCGTATGCTCTTGGAACACGAACGGAATAATGGTTTGGGGGCACGGATGCTCTGGCAACAGTATGCTCTTGGAACACGAACTGAATTATGGTCTGGGCATGGATGCTCTGGTAGCCATAAATATGCTCTTGGAACAGGAACGGAATTATGGTGTGGGCATGGATGCTCTGGTGGCCGCATGCTCTTGGAACACGGACGGAACTATGGTTTGGGCATAGATGCTCTGGCAACCGTATGCTCTTGCAACACAAACGGACCCATGGTGGGGGCATGGATGATCTGGTAACCGTATGCTCTTGGAACGCGAACGGAATTATGGTTTGGGCACGGATGCTCTGGCAACAGTACGCTCTTGAAACACGAACGGAATTATGGTTGGGGCATGGGTGCTTTGGTAACGTGAATCATGATTGGGGCATGGATCCTCTCGTGACGATATGCACATGCTCTGGGAACACGAACGGAATTTTGGTTTGCGCATGGATGCTTTCGTGACCGGATGCTCTTGTAAATGAAGCAAGATAGCGGATGCTTTTGACAACGGATGATTTCTGGGCAAACGCCCAGGGCGCAGCCAATATCCAGTATCCACCCCTCCAATGATGCCCCGATTCATTGCGGCTGCGGACTTTTTCGAGCGATAAATCGGAAGCATTTCTTGCAATGAATTCTGCAATTGATGCTCTATGCGATGTGTTTTTTTGGGCGGCTAAGTCAGGTGCACTGATAAGAAAGCCGAGAGTTTGAGTCGTGCTTGCAATGTCGTGATGCATGCACGTTACACTTTCCAGAAACTGCTGGCAGGAGAAATGATGGAGCCCTATGCCCAGGGAGACCCGACCTGCACACAGGGCAATCCCTGACGTACTGAATCTTTGTGTTGTTCATGGCATGCTGTTTGACCATATGATCTCACCCGTACATTGTCCTTGTCCAGCCTTTCCAAGCTGCACGCACGCACATCCTTCACCGCCCCCCGGACACAGCACTCTTGCACCACAACTAGGTGTGGCCTGACCGCTTCTGAAGTTAAAAACAAAAGCAAAAATCGTCCGATTCAATGGAACAAGGGTGCAAATCATGCCGCACTTCCGTTCCAGAATTCTAAAAGCACGCCTGCAAGCGAACTTCCTGAGAAGCCGACAACGAAAGCGTTCAGTGGGCCACCGTTGAGGTGTACGCGAGCCTAGGACTTCCAAAGCGAATCAAAGGAATAAGCCATGTGCATAGATAATCCTTGAAGCACCTGGCCTTGCCCATGCCCTTCCCCAAGTGCGATGGGCCTCGCAGCAGGACAAAGCAGACAGTCTGCACCCGTTGCCTCTAGTCTAGACGTTGCGTGCCCCTCACATGGAGTCCCTGACGTGTTGGCTGCAGGTCGAAGGCTTGCGGCTTCATCTCCTACTCCGCAAAATCCACAAGTTGCACACCATGAGAACCCATTTTTGGAGGGGCAAGCAAGGATTTTCCACTTGCTGTCTGTCCTTGTCTGTGCCAGGCAGAAGGCTGCCCACCTGGAACGTCCACTGAGCGAGCAAAAACTGATACACTACCCCAACCATCATGCCGTAGTAGGCGACAACCGGCAGGGTTGTGTTAGACGGGCATGTCTTACTTCGCGCAACTTCCAGGCAAAGCGACTTCAATAAACGCAGTTCTGAGCTTCAGAAATCTAGAGGCAATGAGGAAGATGCAACAAGAGCCGGCCTGATTCTTATGGACAGCGATGTCATGGCCAAAGACGGCCTGCAGCTACGCGATGGGCATTGTTAGATGTCCAGGACGATTCCCGAATGTCACGCGGCCTTCAGCTCGGGGCAGTCAATGGAGCCGCATCCTGTGGCCTGAATGGATCCCAATCTGCCAGTCCTGGGCAGGTCCGAAGTGTTGGTGGAGCCAAGCTTCAGCAGCTTCACTGAAAAGCTCCAAGGGCCGGTCGCGCGTCGCTTGATGATCGCGTCCGCAGGTGCGTAGGTTAGATCCTGAGGCCGAGCGAATACGCCATCCCATCCCAATCCCCGTAGTTCAAGCTTAACTGGACATGGGATTGAAGCAAAAAACAACAACGGGATTGCATTCACCGCCAGGGCCAGCCCAGCCCCGTTCGGGAAATACGTCAAACATGATCCACTGCATACTCCTAGGATAGGCTCAGGCCGCAAAATCAATTGCTTACGTTACGTGCCAGAACCCTGCTGCACCCAACCACTGCCTCCTCGACATACAGAACTGCTTAGCTTGCTCAGGTTGCGGGTTCTCGGGCTCTGGCTGGAACAGCGCTGTTCACAAGACCAGGCGCGAGCTCTGGTCTTCCTTGCAGAGTTTCCTTGAGAACCTCAAGCGAGACATATGCACATGCCACGAGACCTTCTTCAGAAAATCTCGCAGCTGGCTTCACTCGAGCTTCCTGATTCTTGGTAAAGCATGGGCGGTCTAAAGGCAAGCTGAGCACGTAACCTCGATAAGAGCGGCCTCTTCGAGGGCGGCTAGACCTTGGAGCATTGACCTCAGACTCAGCTCAGCAAAACAGCGGCAGGCCAAAAGGATCTGGGAAGCATGGGATCAGGCTGCGCGTCCATGCCTCCAACCTCTGAATGACAAAGCAATATGGCAAATAATGACAGTCACGCTCGAGGCCGCAAATCTCTGTCCTTGCAGCTGGCCGCAAGCACAAGGGCAGCTGTCGACAGGTGCCTACGTCCCGTCCCTCATTAGCCGAGATAGTCAGATATGTCAGATGCGGACATGGCTTGCGGAGCCAAAGCTTCCTTGCTTCCCTTCTGCTGCTGAACTTCGGGGGGTACCACAAGAGGAGCCATGTGAAGCCGGCGCTTACAGCGTGACAAATCTCGTGATTCAGCATCTGATCTTGCCTTATCTAGACTCTCTTGAAGATGACGCTTAGACGAGCACACGGCAAGTTCCCTGCAAACAAGCTGCGCTGCATTCGTGTTACTCTTGAGAGGAACCAAGAACACAATCTGTGCCGTATGCCAAGTAGTGTTATGTAGTTGCGTGGGAGAGCGGCAGCGCGGCAGCGTACCTGCGGAAACTTTGCACATAAGCCTTGCAATAGTTACCGGATGCTGCCGGTTTCAGGGTGGGGGCTGAAAAACCAGACCTAAAGCTGCGGCTGCGAAGGCTGAGGATTTGGGGAGGAGGAACAAACTGGCCCGCATAATTTTCCGCATTCCCTTCCTTCCTCTTTCCTGTTCATCCTCCCGCCGACCTGGAAATCGCGTCAACTTGTTGTTTTTGCGGTGTCCTCATGGAGCGCCCCAAACCACCAAACCCCCTCCTGCTCTTCACATCTCCGCTGGCCAGCGATTTGTTGACCGATTCCTACCTGTACCCCCAGTCCTCCCCTCACTTCACAACATCCAAGCCCCCGAAATATTGCCGAACCAATGCTTTTACGAAGTCGCAAATCCCGCCCCTTGCCTTCCTCCCCCCGAAACATACTGAAAACTGTTCATTGTTGTTTTTCCGGGTCCCCCCTTCGGCACTCGACGATCCCCCGTGCTGCCCTTCTCTGCCCGCTGAGGGGAGGTGATTGCAGAACGGAATGCAACTTTTATGTACTTCATGTTTACGCTGGAGCCGGCCTTGGCCACCTCGCCTCCCGGACCGTCCCCCCTCTCTCTTGCCAGCTGCCCTGGAATGCTAAAACTACGTCAGGCGCACTTGAGGGCCGCAAGCCTTTTTTTTTACCATCTGGATGGCAAGCTGTCTCATTTGGTCCTGCTACGTCCTGCTTGTCGGCTTTTCAGCCGCCCGACACCAGAGAGGGCAGCATATGCAGCCTCCACAGCCCTGGGGGATCCCTCGGTCAGGTCTCCTCTGTGCTTCGCAAATCTTCTTCAGATCGGCACCGCGTGTTGGAAATGCCGACATCACCTCATTCTGGCATGTCCCAATCTGCGCTCTCTGCGTTGGGCTGCTGCGTCGAGGAGAATGGGGTCCTCACAGGGCTTGACTGGACTCCTGAAAAACCACGGAGCCAAATTGATTGAGCCTGGAGCTGTATCCCGAGGAGTGCTGTGGCACTTCCACTCAGCATGCCTGAGCCGACACATTTCCACACGCCTGGTGGAGCGGTCCCGAACCACTGTGCCGCACCTGCAGATCCATGGCCTGCGGCTGACCCTTCTTGTTCAGGTATGCGGTGAAGGAGACCTGCATGCCGCGGCACGTAGGTTGCAAACAGTACGTGATAGCTAGCCACGGTCCGTAATTTATGTTCAGGCATGCAAACATATGCACTCATATGTATGGTGGCACACCAGAGTTCGACCTACAACGACCAAACAAGACGAGGTGCCATCTGGCCCGGCTGACATGACCCAATCTGGTTGTGGTGCAGGTAGACCTCACGACTTACAAGCCATTCAGGATCCCCGACGAGTCTTCTACGGGGAGACGGGGCGTGGGATGCAACGCAACGTGTTCGGAACCATGTTTCTCTGCACGCGAAAATCGATTGGACATCCCTTAAGGATGTCAGGCGAGTCAGGCGAGGCTGCAGAACTCATCTTCCATGGGCAGCGGGTCTCCTCCGAAACTTAAGGCACCAATGAGGAAAGTTCAGGCTTCAGACCCAAAGTCTGGGAGCTCAGAGCTATGCCCAGCAACCGTGCTGTCTGTTGGAGTCAAGTCTCTCACTCTTGCCAAGACAAAGACGCTGCCACTTTTGGAACCTCTTGAGATGCCTTGGAACAAACTGACAATAAGTGAGACAACCAACTTGCCAGAGCAAATTCCATGTTGCGGCCAGCCGGCGAAGATCATCGTCGAGGTAGTCCGTTTCGAAAATTCCGCGAGCTCGATCGCCCAGTAGCTTGAAGGGAACCTGATTCACCCGTGCAATACAATCAACACCTGTCGATACCAATCATGCGATCTGGAATTGAAGGTTGGGATTGAAGGTTGGGTTTGGGATCTGTTCTTGAGTTGTTGTTCTTCTCGCCAACTGCAGCTCGGGGGCCGACAGTGTATGCACATTCCACAGCATCTTTCATAGTCAAAGACTCGACAAGTTTCCACGTGTAGAGTAGGCATGTTCCATAACAGGACTCAGATGATTCGCCTGTCTTGTAAATGGAGGAAGATTCCCAATATCACGGGGGTCTTCATTCCTCCATGTACAAGCTCAATGAGTTGCATGGACCGTTCCTAAGCCTCTAACCACATGCAGGAGGGTTGACTGAAGCCCTCTGCATCGTTCACGGTACTGTAACTTAGTTGCTCCTATTCAACAGGGCAGGGGCGCGATGAGATGATGATCACGGTGAAGCCCTGCTAGGCTCTCGGATATGCCATCATCCAGTTTATATAAACTCAATAAGTGGCGTCTCCTTCCGGTGTGCTATCTTGAAATCTCTTGAGCATCTGTTTTCAAAGCAGACCCCCTTCCATCCTCAAAAACTCTCAAGCTCGCAGACCCAAAACGTTGTTGTTGAAGGGTCTCTGTTCAATGAGTCTGCAATGTCTGCAGTCCCTGTCAGCCGAATGCCCGCGATCCCTTGCTCGCATGCCCAAGGGGCCGGGTAGGGCAGGCGAATAGGCTCGTCGAGGTCCTGATCTGTCCAGGGTGGCCTTCGGATGACGATGCGGCCCCCAGTCCACTGGAAGCGCAGGTCCGCTGCCTGGCGCTTAATTTCACACGTTGACTTCACATAATCGATGCATCTTCTGCATCTTGTTTTATTCTGTTTTGGCTGCATGCTACTTCTTCTTGACGCAGCCGATGCGTTTCCATGTATTTGTCTGATGTACAACTTCCTGGTATCACAGACTGTCTTCTGGTATGCCCTTCACACACCTCGGATGAACTTTGCATGTACGCCGCTAGGCGCGCTTGAATACCTGCATCTCACACAGCGAGCGTCTCAAGCTTTGAGGGCCATTTCAGAAAGTCTCGTACAAATATTCAGGTGCGGCAGGTTGAATGGCACATGCATTTTGAAATACTCTCAGACGCATTGGCTCCTGTTATTTTCTTGGATCTACGTGATAAGTGGCGGCTTCTTGATTCTTGGGCCGGGAGAGAGATGAAAAAGCTGAAATCTAATCTTCACAGTGGCATGGAAGCCGCAATACATATATACAATTATTCGCTGCTGGAAGTACGACAAACAAAGCATATCAAGATCGTGGTCGGCGGCGTCCGCATGCTCATCATCATCATCATCATCAGCAGCAGCATTCACCCACAAGACCAACTTCACCCTTCAACAGCGGACATCGCCATCAGAACCTCACTTGTCACAAGTCCTATAAGCGGCCTCGGTGCTCAGGTCTGCTTCCAGGCAGATGACTCCCAGCGGAGAAGCATCGATCACATTGTACCAACGTCCAGGCGTGGCCGTGAGGTCCAGGGCCTGGTAGACCTGAGAAAGGACTGAACTCGGCAGCCTACATGGAACAAGCACCTTTGAAAGTGTGGTCTTTCTGAGATGTCTTGTAAAGTCAGAAATGATTGACTGCCCTGACAATGGAAATGCGCGATGACGGCAAAGTCATGAGGTCAGCATGGAATGCCGCCTTCATCAAACATAGTTTGCCCCAATCGGCTGGGCTCAAAAGGCTCTCCAAAGCTGCTACAACGCAGCCTGACATCATGGCAACAAGAGAAATCTTGCTCATTCCGGTCAGGATTCTTTCTGAACTGCGCTATTCGTGAAGGCAGCAGCCTGGACCGGTGAAGGTCCTTTGCCAAAAACATACTCCTGCCAGCTCTTCAGACTGAAAAGGTTTGCCGCCGCTTGGCCTCAAAACAGGTGTACGCGGAGTTCTGCGAGCAAATGCATGTCTTGGTGGCAAACATGTCATGTCTAAGTGCTGCCGTTTGGCCTGGGGTGAAAGTGTTGAGAAGCTTCCACCTTCCCGCAAGGAGTTGTTGAGCGTCTTCGCTGGCAAGCTTCGACTTGTCAAAAGATGCGACGAGCTCCGCCACCAGATCTTCCACTCGCTGCGCGGCATTCACTCTGCTTGCATCCCAGTTCTCACCGGAGAGGAGCTCCAGGAGCTCTGACTTGGCTGATGGAGACGCAGCGAGCGCGACAAGCGTCCGGCAGCGCTTGCCAGAGCACCGAAGCTTTCCACGCTTCGCCAAAGGCTGTGCACGGAGATGGCTGGAGGCGGAGGCAGCCCCGAGTGCTGCGAGCGCTGTGAGGCTGACTGCCTGTGGCCAATGTGGCCAGTACCCAGGGCCAAGGCTGGGTTTGGCAACTTTGGCAGCTGGCCGAGACAGCGAAATCGCGCATGCTGTTCGAGGGGGCTGCGCGGACAAGTGCACTGCCATGGTCTGCGGCAAACGTTCCGTCAAAGCTTTTAGGGCAAGCACGGATACGGGCTTGGCCCGCCGTGTTGGCAGGGCTGCAACAAACGACAGGATATACCCAATAGACCATGACTATGCCTTTCGAAGGTGGGGTGAGGTAGCTTCACTTTGCGCTGAACTGTTGCAGATCCAGAGCAAGGCAAAGGCTTCCACAAGCACTACCCACACTGCCGTGCCGAAGACACGCACAACCACAAGGGCCAGACATCCTGCCGAAAGCCTTGCTGCTGCAAGGCTTCGCAGACGATAAAGCCGAATCCATGAGCTGCCTTTGAAAGCACCGGCTTGGCAATGGGCTGCTCTACAATAGGGTTGTTGTGACAAAAGCAGCACACAGTTTATTGCATCCCAGTGACGTTGAAGCTCTTGATCTGTCCTATGCAATTTCCGAGTATTTGCTGCACCTGATCCGGATGTTGGCACAGGTTGCGTTCTGCCTAAACAACGGTATTCTGATTCTGTCAAATCCGGGGCCGATGCATCTGGCTGCGCGTTCGCTGAGAAGCCTTTTGCGCCCTGAGCTTGTGCAACTCTAGGTCTGTGTAGCTTTTGCAACATGCTAGTGGCCGGATCACGACTTTCACAACCTGGAAGTTCCAGCTACAAGTTGCTTCTTGTTGCTTTGGTTTTCATAGCACTTTGCCCGCAACACGCCAAGATTCTCCACAACATGCCGGGCAAAGCAGAATGCCCGCAAAAACATGTCCAAAAAACAACAGCAAAAGCCACCAAACGACCGCAAACAACGCCATGGCAAATACGACAAGAAAAAAGAAACATGAAAACGACATGAAAAAAGTTGTCAAAGGAACTTCCAAGAGGAAGGTTACTCAAGTTCCCTGCAACAAGGGCATCTGCGTGCATCTGAGGAGCCTTGCTTCCCTTTCCCATGTCACCTTTGCCCATCATGGGGTCCCCCTGGACAAGCAAACTCAAGAAGCGCGGCAAAGAGTTGGCTACAGCAAGCGGTCCCACTGCCTTGCCCATTGTCATCGCACCAGGCCCCAGCCCCATATCATTCATTCCCATACCTTGGCGGGATGCACTGACAGCACATTGCCTGAGAAGACCATCTGAGACCAGCTGAGGCACCCATCTCGCCCATGCCACCCATGCAGTCCACAGGGGGCGGAGGCGGAGGCATGTGACCCATGGGCGGCCCCATCGGTTGCATACCAGCGATGGGCATGCCAGGCATTCCCTGCATGGGCCCTCAGTTACTTGAATTGAAGCAGCACAGACATTGGACAGACTGGACTTGCTCAGATACAGGCCACCGCCCATGTACGCCTGACAAGAGCTGGGTTTGACGGCCAATTAGCTGAGACATGCTGAGACCAAATTGATAGCCCAAGACGAATGCACAAATAAATGCTGAGGCTTTGGCTTTCCCCGCGCCCTTCGCAGGCTGTGGGGGGCCTCCTCGCATCAGCAAACCCGTCTGGCAGCTCAAAACTGAAGCCGCACTGAAGCCATTCAAATCGTCCATTCAAGCTTATTGCTCAGAACACCATTTCAGGCCCCACGTTTCTCCGCGATCTCAGCCATTTGGTCGAAGAACGCCCGCGCACGCAGCTTCGGCACATCACCAGCCAAGTCCGCACCAATACGGGGATTGCACTCAAAGATGCACGGCCTTGCCAAGGATATGATAACATCCGCAGTCAGGAGCATTGCCGGAGAAGTCTGTGGCACTGCCGATATAAGGCAAGCACGTTCCGTCTGGCCGCAGTTTGTAATTGAAGTTGCAAATGCCACCTCAAACAGAGCATCTCAAAAGGCATGGCTGAAGCTTCGTTGTATGACCCTGGGCTGCTAAATCCCTGCTGAGCATCTGTAGCCAGCCAAGAACATCGTCATAACGTGAAGGTGCTGCGCCGGAATGTCGCACCTTCTGACAACTCTGACAACTCTGACAACGACATCTTCAATGTCCCACATGAACGCAGATTGGGCCAAGCAGCAGCTCTTTGGAGATCTCATGCACTCGTGGCCAGACGTATTGAACGCCAGCGTAATGGTATTTCATCGTGACGGAATCCAATACTTCCCCACACCTGAGACACGCATGCCTACAGACTGCTTACTGTCTAAGACGAATACCAAGTGATAAGCATCTCGCCAAACCAATAAAGAAGTGGAGTACTCGTACTCCCCGAGTATGAGCTCCTGTAAGACCTAAATTGCTGTATCAAGGGGCGTTCGTTTTTACAGCTTCGAGTCTGCGAAAGACTTGGACTTGATAGACACGACTTCTTCAATTTGGCCGGATGGCTAACTGCACAGATGCTCAGAGCTCTGCAGCCTCTTAGCCCTGTACCCACTGGCTTCCAACTTCCACGCCAGCTACGCACTGCACATCTGCCGAGCTGTTCACTATGCGAGCTCCTGCGAAAACACGCTAAGCGTAACAAATCTCAGACGGGACCCTGTTGCAGGCAAAATGCTCGCTGCCTTCTCCATATTGGCCGGAGGCGGGCTTCAACATACCTGGGGCAGGAAGCCCAACAGCAAAACTTCAAAAATCCAAAGAAAATTGTTAGCCAGATCCTTGCCCAGCTACACGGATAGCTCGCCTCTTCTGCTGAAGTGTACCGCTGCGGCACAAAGCTGCACATCCCCAGCTTCTGGGCGTAGTCGAAAAGCTTGCCCTGCTCATTTTGAGAACAACGGCCGTTGCAGCAGTAGCAGCTAGCAATAGTAGAAGAATCAAGACCCATCTTGGTTCCTCAGCGTGGTTTCAAATATCTGTAGGACCAAATTATTTGCGAGCGATACACGCGCTCTTTCTAGATCTCGTTCCGACCTACAAGCAAGACAGACACCTTTACACGCTTAACCTTCACACACGTAGCAGATACGGAGGCGCGGTCATGAAGGATACTGCTGCAAAACGTCTCTGGCGCTAAGTGCTGGGATGAATCCTAAGCCTCGATGTGCAACTGCTCATGCTCCGTTTATCTGCAAACTCCACCCACACTATGGCCTTGTCATCCAGGATTTCCACAATGTGGGGCTCGCAAGTGAGAATCTGCCAGCCAGCCTGAACCATTCAGACGAGGAGCGAGGGGTTGGTTGGGCTATGTTCCTATATGTGGTCGTAGCAGGCCTCCTCCCACTCCTGCTGCTTCCGAGCTATCTCCAGCGCCACTTGGTCGGTGCAGGGCCTTGCGATGTCAGGCTGAAAGAGTGAGGCCTTGCAGGCCATATGACAGCTACACCTTAACATCAGAGAAGCAGAAATCCAAGCTTTGCTCGTACACGGCAAATCTGTGAACACCGGATCCGTCAACATGGAAAATCAGAGGCCAACAGCGAGGACGTGAATAACGAGGACCCGGCAGGAGCCACAGCGGCTTGCTTGCATCTGGGATTGGAGCGCCCACTGTCCTGCAGAAAGGCTAGGCATGGGAAACTGATCAAAGGCTTCGGGCATTCGATTTGGCTTACTTGATGTCTGCCGTCAGGCCAGAGATGTGAACCATGACAGGGCCGTGGTGAGAAGCCATTGCACTTTCTTATCTGCATGTGAAGTTGCGCACCTTGCTCTCGTTGCTGTAGACATTCTGTGGTTCTACTGAAAATATAAGCCACTGCACATGATTTCTCAGGATTTCTCCATGCTATCAACCTTCAGCTGCACACGGTCCACGACATCGAGTTTTGCATGATGCCCCCCAGCATGCGCACCTGTCTGGCCGGTGTCACAACTACAGAGTGGTACTAGCGGAAATCACTCGCATGGATGGCATGGATGTGGAGACCAACGAGTGTGAAGCAAGGATCTGAAAGCGAGCCTGAACCGCTATCTCAACTTGACGGCCAAGTTTCCAACAATGAAGCCCAACTCATACCAGTCCTTAAAATGAAACGCCTAAAGAATGCAATGTGTCCACGTTGCAGGGTGCCTGGCGGTTCCATATGAAGCCCGGGACCACCTGGAAGAGGACATTCTCCGAGCCCCAGCAGGCGACCTGCTGCCCAGGGACTTCTTAATACTTCTTTCATGTATGCAGCGTTATGGTTACTTCTGTAGCGAGGTTTGTGATTGTAGCTTCGTTCTTGCTTCTGCATCAATGTTCGCTCAAAAGGGTAGCTTCACAATCACGTTTCGGGGACGGCCAGCTGCCTAGCCTGCCGGCTACAAAATATGTCGTTGCGCTGCGCTACTTTTGCTCGCCAGGCGCTGGATTCGGAGTCGGCTTGAGAGTCTCAAAGCTTGCAGTTGCCCTCCTGTGCTCTACTTCTGGCATGTCAACCATCCAGCAAGTGCTTGCTCAAATGCACCGACTTTTCCGAGCCTTGCCTCGGACTCCAACTCCAGCGCAGCTTGTTCCTGACCGGCCGCTCTGCACAGCTGTACCAGGGATGTGTAGTCCTGCACAAGCTGCGATCCAGCCTCTACACCCAAAGGTGTCCAAAAACCAAGATGCCCACAGGCCTACAGCAGGTGCAAAAACAGACGCAAGTCAACACCAGTCCTTCCGCGAGGGGCTCACACCAGGGCTCTCTGAAGCCCACATTTGGTCTAGCAGCAATAGGGCCTGACACAGCGAGGGCAAGCCATCCCACCACTGCAACGCATGTGACTTCCATCTTCTTCTTGCTGCTTGAAAGCTGGCCTGCTGCCACACGCTCCCATCATCTTCGCTGTTACAATTGGCGCAGGCTTCGACGCCCAAGCCAAGCATCTCTGCGCGGGGCTTAGGACCCCACTTCTGCATGTCTGAGAGCGAAGACAACACGTCTTGCCAGCGTCCCCTCCGTGCAGCCGCTTCCATCGCTCCTGCTCTGGCTTGCGCCAAGGCCGCGTCTGTTTCCATCTCCCACTCAGGGTATACAAGGTACTCGTATCTGATGGCCAGCTGGATGCTTTTGGAGCTTTCGTCTATGCACAGCTCAATGCGAAAAGGAGCGATTCCTGTGCTGCTCACGAACCAGTTCGTGGCCCTCCGCATCGGGCCCAGATACCTCCGAGGGAACCTCTGCTTTCTCATCCAGAGGGTGAAGGACGCAGCTCCAATTGGCATTTTGCACGACTTGGAACTCGCAACCATACTCAAGTTCACCATCCACGTACCGGTAGCAATCAGTAGTATGCTGCCCGACTTCAAGAAAGTAAAGCTTTGGCAGGACAGGATCCTGAACCATCTCCGAAAGTTCCCAGCTCAGCCAGCTGCCGGCCACGTGGTACGAAATGGACTTTCCCTGGCACATACGAGCCATGCGCGAAATGTGCGAAACGTGTGAAGGAGGCAGCCGGCGGAGAGGAGCCAAGGTTGCGAGCCGCTGGTACACAAAAGGCCTTAAAGCAAAGGGAACTCAAAGCAGCTCTTGTGACAACACATCTGGAAACCTCGCACCGAGCGCTGAGCAGTGCTTGCTGCAGGAAAACCGACATCGTCGCTATCTTGACGGAGCGCTGGAGACCCCTGCCTGAGCTCCCGCAAATTGCCACGGGTCGTTGCAACATCTTCAGCCCAGCAGCTGCCAATCATCTGCTACGCCACAAGCTGGAGCCCTGCCAGGCTGCAAAGCAAGCCTTATCATGACGACAGCTTCTCCGAGCAGAACATCTTTGCACAACTTGCACCGTTCTCATGGAATCGACAATGGTCCTACACTGCTGTTCGCCAAGCGGCTACCTGCACTGTGATGGCGCCAAGCACTGACCGCTTCGGGGCGAGCCACGTCAAGGCCTGGGTTGCGCATAACCATCAAGGTTCATGGCGTGAACCAAACCTGGAATGCCGGCTGCATTAGCTCCATGCTGACTACAAGTTCTGATGATTCCTGGATGCGCTGCTGATGACAAGACGATTGCACAATCGCACCATGTGCAGCAGGATGATGCAAAATGCAGGTGCCGGCAGGATGGAGACCCTCATGCAGTCCTCAAGTCTCGTGGAGGAGTCAAGTGGCTGCTAATGCGGCGGAGGCAGCTGCATTAGCTCCGCACACAATTCCGACCGCCTTGCGCTGCCCGACTTGATCCTGCCAATCGGGTAAGACAGGTCACTCCCCAAGGCAGCCAAGGTGGTTTGCCTTGATCCGTTCGTTCAGTAGCAGCGTGCCCCACAACGTCGTGGCAAGGCCTGCTAGCAGCAACACACGATGACAGGCGAGGCAGGCTAGGGGATGCTTGATACCGCTCATACCACGTGGGGAGACATGGAGGCCTAGAGGGCGTACAGCAGCATCCGGAATAGGCTGGAGCAACGGCGTCAGCTGTGGCGGCTTTAGCAGCAGCAGAGGGCCTGCACAAAAAGGCACATTTGCGGAAAGGAGCCCCATGCCAAGTCAGCCACTTGAGAGAGAGTTTCAAATTACCACGCAAGTGCTTGTTATCGTGCGCAGCTGGCATCACATCTGTCACGAGAGCTCGATAGCTGCTGCCGCATTAAAACCAGCAATTGGCAGAAAGCACCAACGTCTGAACGGCAGCTTCCAATCACAAGCTTGTCTCCCTCGCTCCTAGAGTTGCACACCAGTAGCCATCTGCCACCACGGAAAACTCAGCGGAGCCAGCCATTGCAAAAGGACTTACAGACACTCCTACAAAGCAGCATAGGCGTAATCGCTAGCGAAGTTCATCTTCCTTTGACGAAAATAAGCACCTGTCAGGCCTAGTCGAATACTTGTAGTGTGCACCATGAGTTGTGCAAGCTACAGGGCATCGAACCTTTTGGTCGCACTCTTTGACACAACTGCTGCGCGAACGATCATGTTGATAATGCACAGGCTCATGTTTGAAAGGTACTGTGGCCGCTTGACAGCAAGTATCTGGTGGTGGTCCTGTCGGCTGCAGGTCGAAGGCCTGCGGCTTCATGTCCTCAAAAACATTTGCGCAGCTGAAATGGGAGAAGGAGGAACCTACAAGTAACAATCGCTTTGACAGGCATGTGGCTGTGGTGGTGGTGGGTGCATGTCGCAGCGTGACTACAACCAGACAGTTGACATGCATTATAACATAGGAAGCTGCTGGGCCAGACAAGCATAAAATGCTATAAATCAAGTGCAGCGTTTGTGGGGGGAATGCATCTGCAGGGGCAATATTTCCAAGCAACCTGGCAGTTTCCATACGTCATAGCTTCACAGGGTGGCACACGTGTAAGATGTTATCCAGATTATTACTACTGTTACCACCACCACTACTACTACTACTACTACTACTACTAGGGGAACGTCGCGTAGCTGACGGTAGGTTTTTCCCTACTTCAAGTTGATTTTACAGTGGTCTCGCCTCATTTTGGCATTTGTGGGGGGGGCTGCGTTTTTCTGAAAAACTGCGCAACGTTGCGACCTTCGCGTTTCTGGTGGTGTTGAGGTTCGTGAAGACACTAAGCACAGCAAGCTCCGAAAACAAACATCTGAAACATTCAAGCTTTCATAAACCCTAAGCCCTAAGGTCTAAACCTAAACCCTAAGTCATCCTAAATCCTATCCTAAGCCCTAAACCCTAAACCCTAAGCCCTAAACCCAAAGCCCTAAACCCCAAGCCCCTGTCCGAATATGATAGTAAGGGGGATTACTACGCTCGTGACGTT